TAGAGTTAATTTCCTTCCTGGTAGCTGGTACAGTGCTGTGTTTTGGATTTAGGGTGAGAACAATGTTGATAACACACCCATGTTTTAGTTGCTGCTAGGTAGTGTTTATACTAGTCAAGGACTTTCCAGCTTCCCATGCTCTACGGACTGAGAAGGCTGGGGGTGCACAAGAAGCTGGGAGGGGGCGCAGCCAGGACAGCTGACCCAAACTGGCCAAAGGGATGTTCCATACCGTGTGACATCATGCTCAGTATATAAAGCTGGGGGAAGAAGAAGGAAGGGGGGGACGTTTGGAGTGGTGGCGTTTGTCTTCCCAAGTAACCGTTACACGTGGTGGAGCCCTGCTTTCCTGGAGATGGCTGAACACCTGCCTGCCCATGGGAAGTAGTGAATGAATTCCTTGTTTTGCTTTGCTTGCATGCGCGGCTTTTGCTTTACCTATTAAACTGTTTTTATCTCAACCCACAAGTTTTCTCACTTTTACCCTTCCGATTCTCTCCCCCATCCCACTCTGGGGGAGTGAGTGAGCGGCTGCGTGATGCTCAGTTGCCAACTGAGGTTAAACCATGACAGTGGCACAATGCCATGTTGTCTGAAGCAGACTCTTAGGGCCTGCTTTGCATCTGCCTCCTTGCAAACTGGGATTGCTAACTTCTAAAGTCTCTGTTTACTGCACCCTGTTGTGCGTGAAAACAGTTACTAGAAGTATTTAAAGAAAATACCAACAGGGTTACCTTAACCACCTGTAAATTAGATGCTTAAACTGCCCTGACTATGTCGATTTTGTGAAACACGGATGTGAGTAGACCAGATTACTGAGTGCGTGGTACTGGGAAGTTACCTTAACTGACAGTTGCCTATTTTTGATAGATAGCATATTGTTTGCAGATTTAGGTGAGTGATATGTATCATTATCTCAGGATATCTCTTTGAAGGATGAATTAGTATAATGCCGTTGTTTTTTTAATTATGTCATAAATTACTTGGTTCTTGCCCTGAGGGATCTGTAGTCTGTACTAAAACACAGACAAGGAGTCCCTGTGAAACTTTAGAGGATGATGATGCTTCAGAAAGATCTGGTTTCGCTAGTAGTTTATTATTTCTGAGGCTTTTATTTCTTGTATCAGATCCACACCAGTGAATCCCCAGGAGGGGTGTGAATGGGTCATGTAGTACCTGGTGTGCAACGTGAGTGCTGAGAGCACTCAAAGCAGTTTGGGCAGCAAAGTAAAAAAATATGGAAATGAAAACAAGGAAAGTTGCAAGGTGAGATTTGTTGGCTGACTGAAGGATTAGAGGAGCATGTGACTGAAGAGAAGAGAAAAGAATAAGGGTACCGGAGGTGATCTATGTGCGGCTTTAAGGCAAAGGGAAGAAGTGGGTTACAAAATGACAGCGGTGATGTTCATGCAGTTTATGAGTCCAGACTTGTATTTTGCTTCTAGCATTATGTGCACTTAAAAAAAGGCAATCTTAATGAGCCAAGCATGCTAGCGAGAGTTTAACTTGAATGCTAATGTTTTTGGCAAAGGACGCAACTCTTAAAGCTCTCTCTTGAATCTCTGTGCAAGAAATATAATTTTAACATCTCTTAATATTACATAATTCTCAGGAGCCCTAATGTATCACTCTTAGTAATAACTCATAAATTATATAAGATTCTCATTTAACTGCTCTTCAGTTGGAAATAATAATTTAGAAGAAAAGTGATTAGATATAGCAATTTATGAAAAAGGAAATGACAGGCTATTTGGTATAGCTGCTTATTTTCTGTAGCTATTTTCTTATGCCTTTTATATAATATATAATTTTGTATAATTGGTAAATATCAGTAAAATCAGGCTAAAAGCAATGTCATACCAGCTTTGGTCTATTCTCTTCCAATTTTATCATTGTGAGAAATATTTTTGTTTGAATTTACTAGGAACGCATTGTCAGCAGT